GGACTGTCATAAATGCCAGGGTACGGATGTCGTGTTGGATATCGCGCTTCAATTCTGTCGCATCCTTTCCGTGATGCACAACCCGAATGCTATGCCGCCCAAGAAGCCTGAGGTCGTTAAACGTCATCTTGATGATATACGCGAGATCTAAAGCCAAGGATATCATGTCAGGCTCGCTAGGACAAAAGGTGATGGACGCGGCTAACTTACACTCTCGAGCCATTGGTCCCTCAACCGGCTCTCCGGGCAATTTCAGGACGTGTAAGCCTTCGAATTGCGAGAATTTGTCCACGAAGCGGGACGCCAGATCAGTTTTCGTGGACATTTGGAGACGTCCCCCTTGCTGCCACGCCAAATCCCGCTCAGCAAGGTACTGGAACAGCTCCGACACCGGTGCTTGCTTAGCACTCAAGACGTACGGGAGTACCTCCCAATGTTGTCCGTCTATCTCCACGGGACTGCGTACCGTGGGCAGCATACGAAGAACTAGCCGAGCCAGGGAAGCCCGCATCTTCCCAGAGAGCGCCTGCTTGCTCGTGTACATGCGTTGCAGACGCGTCAGCGTAGTAGACTCGTTCAGGAGAGGCTGGTCAGTCCCTTGCGGGTGTGAGCGCGGTACGTGTTTATGCTCCAGCAAGCATGTGGTGACTGCGTCGACAAGTGTGGGATCGCCCATGAGAAGTTTGTTGATCCAGACGAAGACGTTCTCGCTGAGTTTTTTAAGCGCTCCGTTACGGAATAACCGGATCTCTCTTTGCTCGAAGGCTATCCAGTTGCTTTCAACCCGCCACGAAGCCTCCCATAGGCCTGGCCCCTTCGTCACTCCTCCCTGCGAAGCTTTCGACTTCTCGCGTATCACGGACGACACGACTTCAGCGACGTGGAATGAGGCCCAGCGCCACCAGTAGGGAGCCTGACGCATGATCCAGTGAATGGCACGACAGGTGAGAAGTGATTGCGGAGACTTGTAGGGGCAGTATGGATAGAAGGCGGGAATGATCATGCTGGATGCCGAGAACAGAAGGAGAGCGCTGACGAGGGCTGTCGTAATGGCCGCCACAACTGTGTTCAGCGTCCACAAGAGGATGATGAGCCCGATGAAGAAGAGGGCGAGTGCGAGTTGGAGGAGGATCGGAAGGATGCTGAGGATTTCGGGCACATACCACGCGACGATGCCCATATCCCATCGCAGGCAGTGAATATACACCTTGCGCTCCCCATCGTCGGATACAGGGCTGAGGAAGTGATTCAGCCACTGTCTGATGACAATGCCGATAGAGGCTGATGACAGGCTAAGGACGAGGGCAGAAAACCACAGGGCATTGATCCACACGGAGGACGCGGAAGGCTGTGCGGCATCGGTAGATACGGCGAGCACGGGTGGTACGGAGACGTTATTCATAAGACTTATCAATAGAGCAATGGATTGTGCGCTCATATCGGGGCTGGGATCCGGCTTCAAGGCCTTGTATAGGTCGACATTGAAAGCGGTAAGGACCGCTGAGAACAGTCCAGCCTGATGCGCAAGGATATTAAGAGTAGCTTATGGCCGCCAAAATCTTGACTTACGAATACAAGCAAAGCATCTATCTCCTCTTTCCAGGCCTTCGCAGTAGCTTCGTCTTGATTTCTGACTTTGACGGCTAAGCTGTCCCACATACTTTCTGGTTTCTTCGCTTCCTCTTCTTCCCCCTCTGTCGTGCTGTCGGTCGCCTTGCTATCCGATTGAGAAATCCTGGGGACATATAAAGAATCGTGAGGAGGGCGTAACTCCGAGGTCTACACATTGTGATGCGTTAATGGATGTGCAATACGCTACGAAACCATAGGCTCACACTAAGTTTCTCACGCAGCGACCCTTGTATGGCCTCTCCAGTGGTGGATGCGGTTCCCTTGCCACCGTTGTAATCCAAAGTGGGTATCGGCGCTCCCTTCATCAAGTAGGAATCGGTAGTGGAATGCTGCACCTATGCGATAATCTCAACATATGTGCCACGCTATTGAAACTCCAAGGCTTACCCTGACAGAAGAGCTAGGCGGGATGCCGCGTAACGGATCTGTTGTCGACTGTGACATGATAGCAGTCGTCAGAGAAGCGCGCTTGTGCAGAGAGGATTGTAGGAAGCTTGAAGAGCAGCCGAAGATAAGGCTAGGAGACCAGGGGTACAGTGCACTACATTTGCACATACCTTTATAGAGTATATAGCCATGACTTTGAGCCCGATGATCTTCCGCTGCTATTGACGATGTCATCGCAACTCTCATCGACCGACGCCTTGAGAAGCCGTCTTCGGTAGTGCGATGTTGCCGAGCGTCCAAGTATAGTCGCCACCATTCATGACAAGGCATGCGATACCATCGCATAGGCTGGAAACGCAGATCGTCTGCAGAAGGCTAAGCCGTAGGCACAGCCAATGTCTGTGATGCTGTGGCCAATAACTCGGAATTCATGTAGACTGGAAGAACACCATCTGGGAGCGCGGGCACACGACTAGTCACGACTGATGCACGCTGCCAGCCCAATTGGGTTCATGAGATATGGCAAATAGAAAGATGTAACATCAAACACGACGATATCGAACCCCTTGAAGTCTAGCAAGATCAGAGTCATCAGGGCAGTCCTGGTAGATTCCACAAAAGACCTATACCGTATGTACACACAGAATGTGCATGTGGCAAATCCCCGGTATGCACTGGTGTCGACGAGTCGGCCTTAAGTTCTATAATGACGGACACGTCTGACGCTCGATTGATACAGATACGGCACGAGGTCAGACAGTCCCACGCTGTCAAGGTCCTGGCGGAACATCCATGCACGGAACGTTCGAGAACGAGCAAAACAGCATAGCATATCTGCGAATTGCGCAATCCCCGGATTCGAATCTCGCACAGGTCAAATGACACAAAACGCAAACAGATCACGTGGCAGATCCGCATCATAAAACGGTAGCAAGATGGCCTTTATCCAAGTGAGCGCCAAGGATGTCCTCTTGGTAGCTCGCAGAAGATTTGTGACGCCAAAGATCGCGTTGAGCCAGGCTGCAAGACGGTACGGTCCGCTAAAGGTTGATCAATGATTCCTCGTTCTTAAAAGGGGACACGTACAACAGGAATGACATTATCAAGGAAGAACCTGTGAAGAGATCCTCGCCAGAGGTAAAGTCGGATACGGCCTTCTTACGAGTTGTACGAATACAGAGCCAAAATATGCGCTCGTTAGCACTGCATCCCCAAACGGTTCCCATAGATTCAACTCACGCAGCCGGAGGCATTGTAATCTCTCGCCCAAACCAAAGGGCATTCAAGCGGAGTGATTTTATCCTCCCAGCGCGATTGCGACAGGCATTTGATTCCGGCGTCCAAGGCGCTAGAGGAGCGCCTGTTGAAGACGGCTCAGTGAGGGAGGTACAACTGAGCCAGTCCGCCGTTACTGGTGTTACTCTACAGGGAAGAGATTCAGAGTTACTGGACCATGAGTTTCGGGACGGATGACAGCTCACCTTGATTTTCTATAATAGGTCCGCAGCGTAGCGCTTCGGAATGCCGCCGTGGGAGAGATCTGTGCTTGTGTGATCATACCCGTATCTAGTGCAAAGCATCAATGTTCAGCAGTCTGGCAAATAAGCTCAAATGAAATGGTCGCGTACCCCAGGACTCTTGAAATTGTAACAGTTCAATCACTGCATTTCTGCCTTTCCAGGTAGGTAGTCGTCATCGAGGAAATGGCTAAGATCTCGTTCCCTCCAGTTATAACCTGTCAGATCTTAGCTCAGTAACGCTGCATCAACGAGCACACTTCGATTCGAAGCGATATCGGTTGCAGACTTGGAGCTTCCGCGAGGGTGAATCGTAGATCCAAGTTGTTCGCCGAGCAGGACGAGACAATCCGCATCAGCACCCGGGAGCGGACACTCACCACCGTAATCAGTGAACTAGCGACAGCTGTATGCCCCATCCTCCCTGGACATTCAGCGATGGATCCAATCTCGTAGATGCTGCTCCGACGTAAGCGTCTTATTCTTCTTGCCTCCCTCGATCCGTCTCATAAAAGACGCCTTCTGGTGTTCGGGTTTCCTCGTCCTCATCCCGTCCCTCCTTCATAAATGCAGTCCCCCACGCCCGCCGCCTGCCTCCCGCCTGCCTCCGGCGTACCCGCGAGCACATCTGCGCCGCCGGGGACATACTGTTCCGTCTGCACGATCCCGCCCGCGCAATGATACCTCTCGGGACGTCGACGCCGACATATGTGTCGTAGGAGCCACAGTGCTTCGCCACCCAGACAACCCACGCGTGCGCAGGCTCCTGATAGCGCGAGAGGAGCGGCACGCGATGTTTATGCGCGGGCGCGAGTCGTCATCTGCCGACAAATCTCCTTGTCGGTGAGGTACAGGAGGAGGGCGTCGTCCGCGGGTAGGTGGAGGGGGAGGCTGCCGTGCTCGACGTGTGACGCGCGGAGGACTTGCGCAGGATCGCGGTTCTCGTCTGACGTTGCGTCTCCTGGACTGGCGGGGCAGAAAGCGAAGAGACCCGCCCACCGGGAGGGTTCGCGTCGCGCTTGCTCCAGGAGGGCGACATCAATGTTGTATGAGTCCGATGGCATTACTAGATCGACTCAGACACGTAGGTCGCGTCCACAAGGTTGGAGAGCTCATCAGATATAAACATAAAACCTGCTCGGCAACGCTTCTCGCGTCCACTGCTCAAGGATCAATGGACTGTGAGGAGTAAAGCGGCCTTATATGAACAACCCCATTGGCTCCCAGTGCGCGTGCAGTGTCCGCTAAGCGAGGTGTTTCCAAAAGACAGCTCTGTGCGGCAAAAAATGGTACACCTACACACCGTAGATGTGAGACACTGGATCTCTGGGACAGCGCTTCACAACTTGCAGTCATAGGTGAGGCTCGAGGACAGGGAAGAAAGTCATTATCCAGGCCATGCGAACAAACTGCGAACTTGTGAATACTTGTCATGTATTCTCTACACTTCGCATGAGGTTCAAGGGCAACTTGGCCGAGCGGTCTAAGGCGCTGGAATCAGGACTCTGTCTATCCAGTCCGAAAGGGCGTGAGTTCGAATCTCACAGTTGTCACTCGTGTCCCTCAGCAAGGGTTTCTTTTTGCATCTACGGTGCGACCCTTGCCGCACGACATATAAATAATAACAATTTTTGAACTGTATCATGACCGTAATCCGATCCAAATCGTGCCATTTTAGGATGGTGATGGCTTTCTGTTTGGTCTGGTACTTTCGATTGATTTCTCGTGTTTCACGTCTCCGCTCGGATGCAAATGGTATCTCCGATTGTACCTCAAGGAATTGGCATAAAGTCCTCCGACATCAATGCTAATGCACCATTCGACTTATGGCAATTGGCAATACGCAGCAGTCAATACTGTCACATTTGCTGGATATGGTGAGCGAAGAAGTGCCAGTCAAGTTGTATCTGCTGGAGTATCCGATCCTGTCACGGGGCAGTTTCTGCGTTGCAGTGCGTCTCGGCACAGTGTCAGATACAGAACACACGATACGACTCCCGGAACTTTACAAAACTCCCAGGGAAGGTGTCAATGGTCCCAGCTTCGATGAAGCACATGCTAACCCCCGGTGTTCATTTCGGACCTCCACGGTCCCGGCGGGTGGACCAGCGGTCCTGACAGCACGTCAGGATTGATATAGCTGAGAGTAAGAGACGTAGGACAGTGGATATGAGCATCGACGCTGCACCTCCCATCTGCACAATGGATATTCACGAGAAATCTCTGACCCAGAGTTCTGCGAAGACAGAAGTTGGAGTCGTCGTCAGCACCATTCCCCCCACGGCTGATAAGGGCAACGTCGGCTTGAGCCAATTCGAGTATGCGAAGGAGGCTGGCGTCCGTGTTAGCCGAGAGGATAATGCAAGGTATGGCTCCATCCCGATTACAGTGCGAATCTCTATCCATTCGCTACGATATTCATACAGGATTGCCAGGAAGATCGACTTGTGGATTCTCCCGATGGTCAGGATTCGCGCTCCTGATTGAGATCGTTACTCACCTACACTGCTAAATTCACGGATTGCAGCTCTGTATCTCTCAAGGTCTCAGTATCCGTGAGTCCATACTTATTATCTCAGTTCGCCATGTTCTGACGAGTTACATATGTCCCAGTCGACAAGACTGCGTCCGTGCTTTCCGTTTCATCCTGGCTCGTTGCTACGCACTGCTGAGACGGCTTGGATACAGCCTAAACTACGGAAACTTGTACGGCATGCAAGCCTCTCTCAATCTCACGGGAGACCAGTTCGACTGGTTTGCAAGTGGTGAGCTTGCCACGTGCTTCGAAAGCGGCGTATCGTATGTGGACGAATCAGACTGATATTGCTTCAGTTTTTTAGTTCGTCCCGTCATATATGCAATAGCGAAATGCACTGAATGGGTAAATTAGTCTCGGATACCTGGTGGGAAATTATCCAGATGGATGGTTCTTGCAACATTATCGTGCAGGCAGGGTCCTCTCTATCAGTACGTATCGCTACAACGTATCAACTCCGCTGTGTGGATGTCATACTACTGACCAGCTACGTTCATTTGGGGGATCATCATCTTGACGTACGCCGTCACTGCCATGACGTATGTTAGACTGCATTATAATGCCATGTCCCAGTACCCCCGCTTGCACCGGGTTTGGCGGAGTACTGGCCAATCGGTATGTTTCTTGGTGCCACCAACGACACTGAATCACTTGCATACAGCTTCTTCCTTGGCATCTTTGAGGCGGTTGTCACCCCCGGTCTAACGATCCTCACATCAATATGGTACTCACAGTCTGAGGTACCGTTCCGAGCAATGATCTGGTATACGTTTAATGGGTGGTCAGGAATTCTGGGTGGATTCATCGCTTATGGGGTCAGTTCACGCTGTCTTGAACTCCGTGTATTCATAGGCCAACCTACGCAGATCGGTACTGTACCGAATCCGTCCTTACCGCGCTGGGAGTACATATTTCTCATATTGGGCTCTCTCAGTGTTGCTTGTGAGTGCTCCGTACATCAGCATTGCTACATGTCGACTTATACAAAAACTTTCGGCAGTCGCTATCGCCCTGTGGTTCTTATTTCCGGATTCACCTGTTGAAGCCCGCTTCCTAAATGAAGAAGAGAGAATTCTTGCAGTGAAGCGCGTTGCGGAAGCCAAATTAGGAATGAAGAACACTCAGTTCAAGGGGCATCAGGTACAACTTCCAGAGCCCCTCCTGCACGCAATGCCTCAAAATCTAGCAGATCAAAGCGGCGCTTGTCGACCCCAAAACATGGCTCCTTCTGATTGCGACCATTGCTGCGGCGATACCCAACGGGTATATGTCTCCGAACATATTCAGCATTCGGTAGTCTGATGCAACTCCAGTGTCGTTTCTAACTTCTCTACGATCATTATCAAGGTGACCCATGGTTAATCCTGTACTTGCGAACGTACTGACTGCGGAATACAGGGAATGGGCTTCACCACGTTGCAGAGCACATTGCTAGACGCTGCTGCAAACGGCGTTCTGGTGGTGAGCCTGCTTGTAGCTGGGTAAGGTCTTGAAACCCGCGAAACCGCAGACATCTGACTGCATTCAAGCTGGATTTGCACACATTACAACAACAGTACGTGCCATAGACATCTTCCATTATGCTAACACGATACGTGTACAGTGCGCATCATTACAATGGCTGTGGGGAATATCACATGTATCATCGCTGCTGCATTCTTGGCGTATCTCCCTACCGATCAGAAGTGGAACAGACTAGTCGCCTACTGGTTCACCTCATTTCAGGTAGACACATCTACCTGATCATACTTGTGGGTTCGAAGCTGACGCCTGCTGACGTCTCGCTACAGTCCGTAGGATTCGCCTTAGGTCTCGTCATGATCTCAAATAATGTAAGCTCTGGAGATCGTCCCGAGCGCTAAAGCAAACCGTTCTACCTTGTCCCTAGATTGGTGGATTCACCAAGAAGACATTCACAACGGCGCTCATCTTTATCGGTGTACGTTTCATGTTCTTGCGCCTCTTGAATACCTCACTTATCACGATCGAATATCTCAGTACTGCATCGGGAATGTCATTGGGTGATCATTCATGTATATGTCCCATTATATTGATCTGACACCGCTGAAGCCCCCAATTCCTCATCGTGCGTTCACTCTTCCTTACTCCTTTGGCATGCATAGACTGATGTTCTTCAGGAGAGTGAAGCACCTGTGTATCAAACTGGCACCGTACGTCCCTGCTACATGCAAAGCTTTGTAGTATTTAAGTTCTTATATATCCAGAAAGCCATGTTCATAGGCGAGTTCTTTTCAGATCGTTGATCAGGTTGCTCATTGATATCTATGGGACGGCGCAGGTTATGTTATCAAGACCGGTGAGTGCTTAACCTGTGCACACGCTGTTACTATGATAGGTTGACGCCGCATATAGTCGCCCACATCCTGTTGGGAATGTACATGCTCTGGAGCAATATGAACGTAAGTGTGGTGTGCATAGTAACGCATAAGAATATGGCGTCGAAGTGCATTGCGCAGAAAGACCGCAAGTACGGCAGTCCCGACTCTTATGAAGAGCAGCTCAAGGGGGAGGGCAAGTAATTTGTTCACGGGCATCACACTTTCTGTCCTGACCCACACTAGAGGCTGGCATGCATGACATGACGGAATTCGAGAACAAATATCATCGGTATGTGCACACATTGTCTCTGCGTCCGATCTCGCTCACCTGATATGAAAGATACGTTCTTTGATTCGAGTCGAAGCTTCGAGGCACAGCCATTTCTCGTACAATTAGAGCCATGCATCTTTGCTCTGGGCATTTGTCATCCAAGTAAAAGTCAACAAATACACACCTTAGTGCGTCGTCGAACTACGCAATCTCCGGGGGATATTGTGCAATTATCATGAAATAACATCCTGGACAGCTTATTCAATTGACATAAATGCACCTATTCGACTCGGCCCGCTTTCACGTCAGGGAAGGTTAGTAGAGCCATCAAAGATGACATTTAACCAAGCCGCCAGTCGGTATCCCTGCTTCGCTAGTTGGAGGTCAATCTAGATATTATAAAATAAGTCAATACTGCGCGCGTGAGTCGATGAACATCCGAGACGTACCACCGGGACGGCATTGGTGTAGTAGCTACTGGTGCAAAGATCTTCGCCTTTGGTATAGTTGAACACGACCGTCTAGCGATGGCGTTGAGACAGATGATGCTGTCTTAGCGTCTTTAAAATGAGAAGCGACGTACGCAGTCAAATGCGTTTGCCTCTTGTGCCCAGACCAGCGGGCACTCAAGCGGCGTGATCTTCTCTGTAGCACGATTGTGCAAGAGATTCTTGATCTCGGTTTCTAAGTCAGCTCCTGGAGAGCGTTTCGAGACGGGCTCCGTGATAGATGTGCATGAGAGCCAGGAAGATGCGGAAGACTTAAAGGAGCCGCTCTGTGTATTCACAAATTATTAGCGAGGTACGAAGTATCTCCGAAGCGGTTTACCTTAATCTCCGTCACGAGGTCGTTAGCATATGTCTCGCTCGAGCCGCCGTGATTATCGTCGATGTTCTTCTTGACCATCCCAGTATCTGGGATAAAGTCAAGCTCGTTTTTGAACTACATTGATGGACATGAGCTTACCCCACGCCTATGTTCATAATGATTACTATGTTTCGTTGCTACACTTGCCATGAACGCTGGCGGACTCACCGCGTGCAAATTGGTACTCGTGCCAGAGCATTTCGCCGAGATATCGTTTCCACCAACCTCATATGCCTGGAATGGAAGCTGAGCATCGAACGCAATGCGTAATACTGACGGCGTCGGCGTACCTCGACATGTAGCGGCTGGCCAATGTCTCCAAGGAACTAGATGTGAAGTCACATCATCCATAAGTAACAATGCAAATCAACGAAAGCTCATGAGATTCACATGGTCTAAAATAGAAACAATCAGTAAGTTTATGGTGTCTATGGATCCGTCACACGCGTACCGATGAACTTCAGCGCATCTTGGATTTGAGTGGAGCTGAGAGACGAATCTGTTACTTGGGTGGTATAATTAGCAATCGCTGTCACTAAG